CAGATTAATTATTTAAATTTCCAGAAATGTCCTGAAATGATACAATATATAACTTCTTAAATAGCAGGTACTGAAACATTTTAAATTGTTTGTTTTTCTTTCTAGAAATAAAAATAGCCCACCACGTCACCCAGTCCTGTCTTCCATATCAGTTCTTTTTTGCTATCATCTAGGAACTGTTGTAAAAGGGTCGTTTTTAATCACAGTACTGAGAATACCAAGGATTTTTCTCTTGTACCTTTGTAATTTCTTAAAACAAAAGGTAGGTATATATTTGTGCAACACCATAAAAGTAGTAGTTAGTAGGAGAGATTTAAAAAAAAAAAGTAATTGTGTTGCTTAAAAATGGAAAAATGGGTGTAATGGGTGTTAGAGTGTGGATTTTATATTTTATTCTATTTTCTTCAAGGAAGAATTACTTTCAGTGCACTTATCTTTTTTTGTTAATTCAACCAAGATTTTTTTTTTAAATGAGAAAGCATTAAAATGGTCTGTATTTATTTTTTAAATGTAAAGTTTTTATGAAGGATAAAGGAAAATGCAAATTTGCAGAAGGCTTTATTTTAAAATTTTACATCATAACTTTTAAAAAGAAAAACTAAGAATTATGTTCTTATTTTGAGTATAAAATATCTTTTATAGAAAAGATTTCACCTGTTTATAAAGCTTATAAACCTGTCTACCAGTTTATAAAAATAATATGTGAAATATGAACTATTTGAGACATTTGTATAGGATCCAAAACACATCTTTTAAGGCATAAGAAAATATAGGCAGGCTGTTTTGATTGTTGCTTGCCTTCTTTCTTTCTTTCATGCATCTCTACATTTCTCACCCTCTGGTGAAAACACACCATTGCTGTTGGTTTTGGCACTTTAGCAAGGAGAAAGGTTCTCATGACTGTGCAGCTCTGATTCCAGAGACATTTAGACAGAAAGTTTTCAAATATAGGTCTCGGAATGTGTTCCTTTTCCTCCAAAGTTTGCCTTGGCCCTGAAGCAAGTCGTGTGTAGTTGTGAGAGGATTTTTACACTGAGCATCCCTGGTCCATGGATGGACCTGATCCCTGGACATGGTTTGTGAACACCGAAATAAAAGTCACTCTTAATTTACCTGTGAGCATCTGGGCTTATGTCACTTTTGTATGAAAGCCTTGGTTATAAAACTTAGCAAGTTGGGTTGATGAAGAACTTCATTTAAAGATGGTGGGAAGGATAAGTTGTGCTAAAAAGAAGATAGAGTATGTTCTGCCTTTAAGGAAAGCAGGATGAATGAACTTGCTGGGTACACTTTTTTGTAACCCGACTAACTGTAGAAGATGTACCTAGCAAAGAAGGAATATTGATCTATAACAGTGTGCTTAAAGCTTTTTCTGTCTTTTTCTGGTCCAGTTGCTGAACATGCAGCTGTGACAAGACCTGTGGCCTTCCACAAAAGTAACATAGCTCATTCCCATGGAAGGAAGGAAGGGCTGTGGCACCTTTCCAATGACATTCCCTCCATTTAGGGCACGAGTAGTAGGGAAGGATGGAGAAAGGATGCTCTATTCCTGTAGAGTTGATCCTGACTTTGCCACCTGTGCAAAAAAAGTCCTTCTTCTCTATGGAGAACAGAAGTCAGGGAGTATCAGATTGTCTGAGAATTACTGCAGGTTTTGTAGGTAAATTCACTGGTACTTCCTGCATGGAAATCATCAGGCAGAGTAGCAAAGAGGAGTATGCAACTGACGGCCCCTGCTGTAGGTATTTATAGTGCATAAATTACATTTTCAGTAAAATCACTTCTCCAGCACAAAGTGATAAAAGTATTTCACTGATGCCAGGAGTTTATATGTATGTATTTGTGTGAATGTACGGTGGCCGTTTTCAAGGAATTAATCTTGGAATATTTGCAGAAACTTCTTGAGGAGAAAAAAATAGGAGGTTCATGGTTTCTGCACAATTACATGGTAGTTATGGGACCTGAAAATTTCAAACAGTGACTATAAGAGGTTTACTTTGAAAATCCAGACAAAGTCATTCTGACCTCTGGGGAGGAAAGGAAGGTTGAAAGATTCATATATCACTGAATTGGGAGTTTCCTTTCCCTGAGCAAAATGGTCATTTAAAACTGGAAGGCTACCGTGGCTGCCAAGATACCTTTTTTGATTGCATTTGGTAAAATATTCACATGTCAAAAAATTGTGAGTTTTTGATATGGTGTTGGGGGTGGACTAACTTTTGAACTTTTCTATTCTGTTTTTGCTATGAAATTAATATAGATCAATATACTCATAAGAATTCAAGTTGTTTAGTAAAAAGTTCATTCAGGAAAATGTAAGTCTTTTCCACCTGCCCTGAAAAATGAATTGTAAAAATGTATTGACTCTGGGTCAATACACACATATGCATGCATAAAAATCCTCTTGCTCTTTTATTTTTGTCTGTTGGTTTACCAGGCATTTCAGACATGTGAAGATTTTTTGATGAAGGACAAAAAAAAGATTAAAAAAAAATGCCTGTGTCCTCATCCTTGGTCACTGAAAAGTATTGTAAGGTTTACTGACTTGCCTGCCTGTTTGGTTCTCCACGCAGCTGTTAGTTCACTAAAGCTGCTTACAGCACTTATTTTCTTTCCCAGAGAAGATTCTTTCATCCACAGGAAGAAGAAAGTGCTCAGCTCATCAGTCATTAATACTGTAGTACCTAAATTAAAAACATTTCGTATAATCTGAAAAGAAATACACATTACCTAAACGAATGCTTTGTAAGGAGCGATAGAGTATTCTGAAAAGCAAGTTTTTCCAAAATGTCATTTTTATATGAGTCTAATTCTGCGTCCAATAACCAAACATTTCACTTTATTACAGGAAAGTGCATGTGCAAAGTGCCTGTTCAAGAGCTGTTGCAGCTGGTTTTGGTGCCTAGAAAGGTGTTTAAGATACTTTAACCAGGTACGCTCTGTCATTTCTCTATCATTTGAACATCTGCAAGCTTACTTGGAAACTACACATGTATCTAGCTCCATTTAACACTAGTGCATGAAAACTAAAGTTAGTTGTTGGCCTGCTAAACGAAAGAAAAGTCATTTTCAAGTTAGGTGGAAAATGTTAGCAATAAATAAGGAAAGTGTTAGCAAAAAATACAAACATGCAAGGTATTGAGTAAATGTCCAAAAAAGATTGCTAAAACAGCTTGAGATGGCCCTTTCAGAGGGGCCATTTCCACCCGCTATTTCCAAGGGGGTGAAGACTTAACATCTCTGTGAGTTGTGCCAGATGGACTCCTGAAATGTGGTGTGTGCAGGTGGCAAAAGCAATGAAGAAGCAGGATGCCCACTAGGAGATGTGTCACCGGACTAGGGAACTGGGTGTATGCAGCTTATTACTTCATTTCTATTAGAATCTGGGGACTTTATTTATCAAAGTTGGGACCCTTTTGTGTTAGACACTGTACTCAGTTCATGAGTTGCTTTTATAAAACCTGACAGGTTTTCTATATGATTCTCCCTTTGAAGTCCCTATTGAAAAAAAAAAAAACAATTTAACTGTTGGCAGATTTCCGTTATTAATATATCTGCGAATATAAGTCATGATCATGATAAAATGCCAGATGATATAATGATCTCTTTCTTTGAAAGACATCTTTGTTTTCTTAGCAGTTTGTTTCAAAAGCTTTTTTTTTGAAATTTCTGATGTGTAACACTTTTTTCAGACACTTGACTCCTACTCTTTCCTTCCTGATCCTTTCTCCAAGTTTTTTCACAACTCTATTTGCATCATTGTATGTAGTTAATTTTTTCTTTTTCTCAGTCCCTTTTTATTGTCTGGTGGCTGTGGTATCCTTAACACTAAAGGAATCAGATGTTGTTTGTGTTGATTCCTAACTCCATAACTGTTGCCTCTTTTATTCTCATTGCTGAGGCCAATAGTGAAGTACACAAGACAATTCTGATAAATTGTCTTGAATTATTCTAATGTAGGTGCATAAATTAAACTTAATCCTGGATAACTATACAGATGAAGTTTTTCACTTATTTCAGCCTAGATTAGATACTTGTATGGCAAAATCTCAAGTTCTAGCTGATGAGTTTTCCAGACTTACATTTTTTCGGTAGATCTTATGGTCACTGACTTGGTGAGGAACCTCAGAGTTAGTTTTGACTCCAAGCATTCCATTTATAGTCACCCTTCCTTTGACTTCCTGCTTTTCAAAGAGATAGCCAGTATCCTCATGTTTGCTTTTTCCAGCTGTTATGTGCTATGTGTTTGTTTAAAAAAAAAAAGCGTGCAAAGAAGTGTGTGCTTTCCGTATTTCTTTTGTAAAAGAGTTCCTGTTTCCTAATTTATTGCAAGAAAAGAAATATCACTTTATATATGAGTTAGATTTTTTTTCCTAATGATGATAATATGCTTGCTGTTGAATAATTGTTTGAACATCTTTTTGGCAAAGATGATAGCACTCCATGTGCTGCAAGCCCACAGTAATTTGGGAGAGAGAGAATAAGGAAAGCAGGAACATTTTGTAAGATATGTAATAGAAGTTTTATCTATATGAAAGGGGTAACATCAGGCTCTGATTAGTGCATTGCATAGAATGATAAATGTATCTATTTTTTTTCCTATAAAGAATATATCAAACCTGATTAAAAAAAATGGTTACGACTGAAAATATAATCCAGTCTTCAATTTTGCAAATCAGTGGCCAAATTCTAAAATGAAAAAGAGGAGTTAAAGAGTCTACAGTTTTAAGCGGCTTAACATATGGCTTGATTAACAGCGCTGACCTCTTAAGAACTCTCATTGAAATCGGTGTAAGTTGTTGGGTTCTGCCTTGAAATTTCATCTAGTTGTTGAGCATGGACTCAAGAATAAGACTTCATGATTTTTTGAAGTTTCTTGTACATATGTTTCTAACATTCTGAGAGTTTTTGGAGTATGCAGATTCTGATTTTTATATGAGTTGAAATTACTAAAATGTGGAACAGCTGTTACAAAAGTTGGTCCAAAACTCATTGTGTGTACTAACATTCCTTACTACCTTGTTGCCTTTTACCCCAGAATTACATTCATTATAGTAATAAGCATATAATTAACAGAAAATTCGAAAGTAATAGGAATAATAAGGAAAAGAAAAAGAAAGATTTTTGTTATAGTGCATAGATGATTTAAACTCTTTCTTCTCCTTCATTCGCAATTTTAATCAGAACTAAACAGAGTCTTTGTTTTCCCTCTGGGAAACTTGTGGATGAGAAACAGGTGTCAGAGGAAGTAGCATTGGTGATAGTGTGTGTGAGGTTCGTTCTTCCCATGCAGCACCAACCAAGGGCTCCGTTGTCTGAGGGTACTCCTGGGGCTGAGTGTGCCATCGTTCATGTGGGATTTAACACTGCCTTCGGCTGTTTGACAGCTGAGGCTGTGCCAGACTCAGCCGAATGTCGTTCAGCCTCGCACAAAAGGGACCAAAAAGGCACCTCTTGTCTTCCCATTGTGTCAGTGCTGTGCCAGTTGCTGACAGTTGCCATATTTCCAGTGGCAGTTTTGGGAGGAATGGGAATGTAAACCAAGTATCCTGTTCACATTGCAATGTGGATAATTACATTCGGCCTTCCGAAGATTTCCCTTGGATTTGCAACTGGATCCTGTGCTAAACTGCGGTGTAGTGTTGCTATGTGCTGTTAAACAGTTCACTCCTTAAGCTGTTCCATTTCAGTCATGGGCAAAGTGATTCATGTGTGTGTATAATCCATTAGTAACAATTGTAAAGCACTCTGGGTTCTATCTGGATGAAAAGTGCTTTCTGAATATAAAGTCATTATCCTTACTTGACAGTTCTGTTTGCCAACACTTGTCAGAATTACCACAGATTTTTCATCTTCTGGCTCTGATGGTTTCAGTATGTTCCAGATAAACATATCCAATCATCTCAAGTAAAATCTGGTAGATGGAACTGCTCTCACATAAAAAAGAATATACTGTTTTCTTTATGTGGTTTCGGAGCTACAAGGTCTCTCTGTCTCCTGCTCTTTTAAATTGTTGTGGTAAAGTCTTAACTTTTTATACATCAAAGAAATCACTTTTTTCCTTTATAGACTTTTTGCAATTACTTTGTTTATTTATTTATACACAGCATATCTATTGTGGGATAGTGTTGCTTTTCTGTGTCTGCTTTGGGTTCATGCGCAGCCAGTTGGCAAACAAGTGCTCCAACGTCCACACGTGGGTTTGCGATGGCGTTGCCGAGCGGCGGGCGCCTTCCCCGTTCTCCTCAGCGCCGTGACCCACAGTGCGGCCTCGAGGGCCCGCGAGGGTGGTGGGGACTCCGGATGCTGATACTGAAAGCCACCGACTGTCTGGTGTAAAAACAAAGCAAAAACAGACAAAAGAATCAGAAGCAAGGCTGACCAGTAGTCTTATATCCATGGCAATTGGTCGTCTCTTAAACTTTGGGTGGAAGCCTATCAGGAGTTTGTGGCTAAATGCCTTGTACAAAAATGACCTAGATAGAGCCAAAATTCATGTATGCTAATGTAAATACAGTTCTCTTCTGCACCGCCAAATGCGTTCTGCTTCGCTCCGTCTAATACTTCTTTTTCCTTCCAAAAACAATACTGTATTTTAATGTTACTGGCAAAATTGCTGCTAGATGTTAAGCTAGATTTTCAATCATTTTGAAAATACGGTTGACTAAAATTGCTCATCCTCAGTGAAATCGTATTTTAATTCTGTTTGTTTTTCCTTGTAGAGGCTTTACATGTGCTGCAAAAGGAGATAAAATTTATTAGGTTGATATTTGCTCTATAAGGTGAACTGTGTGGGAGATAGAGATGAATGAAACTGACTTATTCTTCCTTTGATGCAGGCAGAACTGAACACTGTTGTGGTCTGTAGCCTGACAGTGTCTTATGACCTCCCTGAATCATTTCCAGTTTGCTAAATGGAAGTTTTTTTCCTGTCCCGCTTCCCTTAAGAAAAGGAAGCAAGCAACCAGTAATTCATGCCTTTAAGAGGGACGATTTTTGAGCTGCTCTGGCTGTGTCTAGTTTGGTTTTGTTTTGAAACTCCCAAATGAGAACGCTGTTGCAGCAATGCAGGTGCCACTGTTAACTATTGCAGTAACGCTGTGATCGTGCTATGGCAGGCACTTAAGGCAGGAGCCCTTTGCTTCGGCCCCTTTGGGTCAAATGCAGCCCAGATGCAGCAGTGAGCTGCTGCAGAAAGGAGACCCAGCTACACTCCCCAGGAGAGGCTGCAGCTGGTGGGTGACAGCCCTGCAGGGAGGGGGCCCAAAACTGTGAATGGGAATGCCGTTCTCTGGCAATGGTGTTACCTGTGAAGAGAGGTGGACTACACGCAGAAAGAATTGGTTTGAGGAGCTGGAGTAGTAGAAATAGGATGAAATGTATGATAGTTTGATATGATTAGCCTAAGGACTGAAAACAATTCTTGCTGTATCAGCTAGATGCTTACTGGTTGGAAGTGATGGAGAGTATTAGTATGTTTGTCAGCCGTGACACAAAAGCCATCAATGGGTTTGTGCAGCTGCAGAAAGGGCAGAATCAGACCTAGGAGATATTGGGATGAGGTATTTCCAGTACAGAGGGAGATCAATTTTTACTGTCCAAGCTGCTGATTAAGCGGTCAGGCTTATCTCACCAGAGTGAACTGGAATATCCTGCTGTGTGTATTCTGACAAATGAAGGGTAAGAGCAAACATGTTTGCTATCTACAAGTAAATTCAGGAAGAGAAACAAAAGGGATGGTTAAGAGCCAAGACAAGATCGGAAGGAGAAGGAATAGATGTAAACTGTTCATAAGTAAATGTTGTCTGGAAATTGGGGAAAAAAAGGAAAAAAAAAAGGTTCCTAAGAGCAGGAGAGACAATGGTCTGGAACAGCACCAAATGCGACGGCTGGGAGGAGGGAAGGCTCTGAGTAGCTTAAAGAGGGAGCTTTCAACTTAGTAGAAGAACTTGCTTAGTCTGAAAAAGCCTGGAGGAGAGACTGGAAGTCCATTCCAATCCTACATGTCCGTGCCTCTTCAGTGGGGTCTCGTTGGCCCCTGTTGCTGCAGTTTCCCACCAGCATCTGAGAGGCATGATGTAGCGCTCACTGTGTCAGCAATGGCCTGTACAGCGGTGAGAGGAACAGCACTGTCACTGGCTACCGCTAGATTTTGTATTCTGAGGGGATTCCCCAGCTGTGCACTCATGAGCTAGGAGCACTTAAAAGCCCTGTCTGAGCTCCACGACACTGCACTGCCCCCAAGAGAATTGGCAGTAAAAAGAGAATCGGATCAGTCTGAAAATATCAGTAGAGCAGAAAAAGCTGAAGTGGGATGTGAGACCAGCGTCTCTCTTGTTTCTTTTTTTAAGAAGATCTGTTGCTATAGCAATCGTCTCCCCACAAGCTCCTTTTATTAAAGCAAGCCCCAGAATGGAGGGCTGAATTCAGCTGTTACACAAAGTAGCAATTATTCTCAACAATCAGGGAACTTATGGCCTGGATCTGAGCCACAGGGCCTTTCTCATGAAACTAGCGGGTCAGTTTTTCCAAGACCCTTGACATTCTGTGTTGTGAAGCACAGAAGGATGTCTTCTTTAAATAGTTTTTTTTGCATACTGTGGTATTTGGAAATATGTAAACATTCACATTCCTTATTTATTCATTCTGACACTGAGAAACCAGTGTCTAGTTCCCAGGCTTCCAGCCAAAGAGGCTTGTGTTCTCCACAAAGGTGATGATACAGAACTGCCTTGCTAGTGCAAGGATAAGGACTGCGCCTGACCCACTGTCTCTCAGTCTTTCTGATCCATGGGACAGCACTGATACCATTACTACTTGCATATCAACATAGCAGAGCCTACCATTTTAAAACACCAATGCATTAAACAAAGATTTTAAAAAATATTAGCTATGTTGACTCAAATTGAACCTACACCTAGCTCAGTATCTGTGCTCAGTGGCTGGAAAGAGTGAGTACTCCACACTCCAGTGTGTTTCCCCATCCCCAGTGCCCTTTCTGAATCTGTTTTCAGCCTTCGGACCTCTTGAGCTGGTTATGATTTCTGTGTGTTTAATAACTCTCAGTGGATTCCTGTTCCCTGAACTTTTCCAGTCTCCCTTGAGCTCATGCAAACTTTCAGCAGCTACAGCATTCTTTGGCTAGCAGTTCACAGCTACAGACCGCAGCGAGAACTATCATCAGTTTTTTGAATCTGGCTTCTACTGGCTTCATATGGTTCCCCCTCTGCTTTGTCCTCACTCTGGAAGAAACAATGAGCCATCTAACCCTACCTACTCCCTTCACATTTTTCATGATTTTGTCGATCTCTTACCGCATCCTCCTTCGGTCGTCTCTTCCAGACAGAAGAGTCTGGTGCACTCAGTTGTTCCCCAGACAGAAGACATTCCTTACCTTTTGGGTCATTCTTGTTGCCCTTCTCTCAAACATTTCCAATTCCTTTAAAGCTTTTTTTTTTTTTTTTTTTTTGTATGAGAAAAGAGAATGCACTCTGCAGGGAAAAAATAACACGTTTGAATAACCTGTGTCTAGAGGAAAGCAGGTTCCTCCTTGACCATAGCCTACCATTTTAGCCTTTGCAACTTTTTTTCATTTGAAAGGGAGTGGGATTTTGCACATACACTGAAAGTAAAAAATGCACGAGACGTCTGCGGTTCTTGGTCCAAAGTCTAGAAAGGTTTGCAAACATTGGGAATAACTCATGTGTGTGTGTTAGAGTCTTTTTGTGGTTAAGGATGAGAGATCAGCAATACTCTTAAGCACAGCACTGATTTTTTAAGGATGTAGCTCATTTCTGTGCAGCTCTGAGTTTGATGGGAGCATATGTTTAATTAAAAATTAGATGTGTATTTTGTTAGTAAGAACATGTAGGTTACTAAAGGGCTGGATAGGATCAGGATGCAGGTCAGTATAGGAGAACTGTAATGTATGGAGCAGTAGTCTGACCGAGAAACCCTCAAAACTTTTCCTTAGAAATACGATCTCTACCACTTGCCTAAGTCTTCCCTTTGCACTAGGGGAGTAAAGTTCTTATTTTATCTGAATTAATGACTAGTTTTGTAGCCTCCAGCAGCTCATTCATTTCTGTGTCTCTTATTCCCTTGGTAATATTGGATTATTACCTAGCTGTCCACCTTGCTTGGGTATTGTCTCAACTAGCTGATATTTATATTATCTTTTGAAGCTGTAATTGCTGTGAATGCTATTTTCTGTTAAGTGGTTTGTAACAGCTGAAATCCTTATGGAGGTCATATTCACTCCCCACTATTATTTTTCAATCTTTCCAAGATAACTGTGCTGGTTAATAAATATCAGAAATTCTTCTAGTTGCACATTCCTAAAATACCAAACTGACTAATTCCAGAGTGCAAACAAGTGGTTATTTATTTTAAGCCTAGAAACAGTGTTTGTACAAGTGCACATGCATTTTCAGCATTCCTTTTAATTTTTAAAAGAGGATTTTCTTTTTTACTATTTATTACAGATACACATTCTCTGTCTAATTTATTAGCAAAATTCATACTGACCTCACCAGATCAGGATCTACTTTGTGCGCTGGGCCTTAGTGCTTAAGGGACAGAAACAACCTCTGAAAAGCCATTTTTCCATTTGTGTCTCCGTTTCCTGGCTGCGAGTGGGAAGGATGAAACAAATATAACTCACAGCCCGTTGCAGAGATAGGCCGGCCCAAGCAGGAGCTGGAGCTGGGAGGCAGAACGGGAGGTTGACCTGAGGTCCTCCTGTCCCCTGCACTTGTGCCCTGGGCAAGCAACCAGGTGCTGGCCTCAACACCCTTGAGCTCCGCTCGTGTTGGTCACCGATAAGTCAAGGGTGTTGAGGCAGCACCTGGTTGAGCCCCAGGGTTCACCTCCCTCCAGGTCCTTATACGCCTTAAGATATCTGAGGCTATTTTGTATTTTTATTTGTAGTAAGGGAAAAATGTATTTTTGAACTAGAAATGTTTTGTAGTAAGCATACATAATTCACTTTCAACAAATCGATTTTTTTCAATCCCAGATGAAGCAGTAAGTAATCTAAACATTAAATACATGTTAGGATTTATAAATTCCTTCTGATCGGTAATCCTTTGCAAACTCCGGTTCTTACTGAGCATAACAGATGTAACTAATGTTTTGTGACATAACCACCTTCTAGTATTTTTGAGAAAAGGGAAACTATTCATAAGATTTGCTGGCACACATTTCAGGTATTTTGAGTGCTGTTTTTCTTAGTTGATATTTTGGACACTGATTCAACATTTCTTTGAAGAGTTCCATAAATGGGACAGATGTGCCAAGTTATCCAGGAGAGATGCTACAGTAATCCAGCCCAGGAAGGTAATGGAGCTGTCCTTCCTGCCTGTCATGGCAGGTGTCCATAAAGAGAACTCTCACAAAATCCCTTATACCTTAAAAACTGTGAGTGCCGTGGCTGTCTGGTCAAATTCTGCTGGTTTTTTTTTTTTTTTCCTCCCATAAGACTCACTGATCTAGTCTGGGATCCCTTTGCCCTTCAACAATCATTTTCAACGTTGATTTTGTTTTTCATGAAAAGGTTTTACAGCTACAGCCATAAGCTTAAATTTTGATAGGATAGGAATATTCTGAAAGGGCAATTTATAAAACCATTGTAATCATCAACTCCTAATGACTTGATAACAGTGTAATTTGCTTGTTTCACTTAAGCAGTTTGCCTCCAGTCTTGGTAGTACCTTCATAGCAAATAAATTAGTTTGGATAGTGTGACTACAGATGTTTTGTGGCAATTTTTGTCATATTCTTCAACAGAGTTAGACTAGAGAACTTTGGTATTTTAAAATTAGTAGCATAAAAGTGTATTCAGAAACTTATTTGGTCCATGTTAGACCATTTTCTACTGATAGGAATTACGCAGAAAAAAAAAGTGAGATTAGAAGCATAGTTATTGTAGTCATTTCAAATCAAATTGTCATATTATGTAAAATAGCTTTTTATATATGCATTAAGTTGGTATTTCTGAATATCATTTAAAGCTTTTCACTTTGCTGAAGTAGAATCTAGATTATATGGGCCTTTACCGTCCATTTACATTATTATCTTCTCTCGTTTCAGCATGCGTACACAACGGCAGCCATAAATGGGACAGATTTTTGTACATCAGCTAAGGATGCTGTCTTTATTTTGGCAAAAAATTCTGCTAAAATTGCTCCCATTATCTGTTTTGGAAATTTTATCATCTTTCTAGGAAAGGTAAGAGTAAAAAACCTGCCATTCTGTAATAAAAAAGTGAAAATTCAGGTCCGATCTTCTTGTCTTTCCTTTTCCAAAGTCAATAAGGCTTTTCTTGAGGTTGGTGTTGTTTGGGCTTTAAAATGAATTTGGGGCAGACTATAATGCCTGAGGTGCTTAATCTTTTTCCCGGTCTTTACTCAGTTATTCAGCTGTAGAATCCTACAGCTCCACTCCTTGGCTCCGCTCTTGCAGCTCCCCTTGCACTGAGTCTTTGGTGAACATGGTAAATATTGCCCCTGCCCTACAGAATTTACACTCTTCTTTGAGCACAAAGCGTGCCAGCTACACGATGCCCGTAGTGCCAGATGCAGGATGTGCTGTTAAGCACTAGCTGTAATGTGTGTGCCTTGGGATTTTGTTCATTTGGCTGTATCTTGTGGAGCACTACTACACTACAATGAGGCTGCATTTCTCTTGCCCTTTCCAGGTGTTTGTTGTGTGTTTTACTGTTTTTGGAGGATTGATGGCATTTAACTACCATCGTGAGCTGCAAGCTTGGGTAGTTCCTCTGTTGCTGGTTGCATTTTTTGCCTACGTGGTATCCCAGAGCTTTCTGTCTGTGTTTGAAGTGACAGTGGATGCCCTGTTCCTTTGCTGTGCTATTGATATGGAAACAAACGATGGATCTGCAGAGAAGCCCTACTTCATGGATCAGGAATTGCTGGTAAACCTCTGTAATAACAAAGACATTCGAGCTGTTACACACTTCCGGGGCTTTTTCTTTCCCAAAAACACAGTAATTGGAACCCCATGACCAGTGCCATTTCCAGCTCAGCATCTTAGAACGGGAGGGGCTCAAGGTTACAAATTATATTTTAGTTTATACAGTGAAGTAAATGGTTGCCTCTGGTCTTTGCGTATTAGCTATGATCTGTTGCTTTCTTCTGGCTATCCCCTGTAAAGGATGGCTGATTTTTTATGGCTTGTTAGATATATTACGTACTTAAAATAAATAGCTGAGCTAGCTGCAGAGTCTTATTTACAAAATGTTCTAAAATTAGATGTTTTTATCTATTGTGACTTATTGTACAGCAGGGGGCAAAAATAAGGAACAAGGAGCTCTTGTTGCCAGCAGCAGGTCAGGTATCCATCCGTATCCTGGATGTCGTAGTCCATGAAGCAGCCCTTCTGCTGCTTTGTGGATTGTTCTTTCTCTTTACCTTGGTAATTACTGTGTTATAGTGCAAGCATTTCAATGGAGGGTTATTGAATAGTTAGTAGTGCTGAGAAGCACTTCACAGACAGCTGCACCTGCAGTGTCTGAATGCACACGTGCCTTCTCTTGCATGTGAAGGTACTGGTTGATAATGCAGATGTTTTTAACTTTCATGCTATTTTTTCCTAGTTCTGTCTTTTTCTTCGTGAACCATGTGACAAAGAAATTACTAGTGATTCATGAAAAACAAACTCAGGAGCCAGAATAGCTCATATAATGTGAGTCTTCTGGATGGGTTTCATCAGGAGCAGCATCATAAAACTGTTTTGTTTTTCTTTATTGCTGTTGTTACATTCCCTGTAATGTTCTTTGAATTCTATTTAAAACAAAAATCAGCAAAAAAGCAGCCAAAAGATAGGCTTAACCCTTTGTACAGAAGAGAGCAGATATTCTTTGGCCTTGACTCAGAAGCGTACTTAAGCACATGTCCTAAATAGCAATATGTTACTGAATGGAAAACTCTGAAGCCTTGACCTCTCTTCTTCTCCCTCTGTTTTGCCAAATGCTAGAATACTTCTCAAGCCAATTCTTCTTTATGAAAAGTCAGAGGCTTTTCTTTCTGCAAATCCAGATTTGGTAGTTGCTTCTCTTCAACTCTGATCTTGATTTCTCGTAGTCAGCCGTGCTGCAGGGGCTCGGGTGAAGGGAGGACTTCCCGTAGTGCAGGGAGGAGAGTCTTCCCTGCGGCACAGGCTGTGTAAGCTTTTATGGGAAAAGAGGAGGGAGGGCACGTTTGAGGTACATGTGCTCCTTCAGGCCAGAAGTTGGAGTTTCCCAGCACGAGAAGCTACATGACAAGGGGTGTGGGTGTTACAGGCATCTGGAGTGGCTTGGGGAGGCTCTGGGGCCCCTCAGGACATGGGTGGAGAAGCGAGTGAATAGTTGCAGACAGCCAAAGATTTCTTGATGCCATAGGAGACATAAGAGGTACTTGATGCAGCCATCTTCCTAATTGCTGTCATTACCCTTGCTGTGTCTGCAGAGTCCCTCTCTATCAGTCAGTGCCATCCAGCTGAGGAACAGCTAACTTAGGTTTCACAGCCTGAAGGCTAATTGTCTTCCTTTACCAGATATTTTTATTTACATAGTGGTCTGCATTCCCATATGATCTCATTCTGATTTTTGCTTTCAGAGCTTTGTGAATCAGAGTAACAAGTTAACAGAAGAGCCAAAACCCAGAAGCATGAAACCCCTCCAGGACAATGAAGATGGGACAGAGCTCCAGCCTATGGTGAGAGAGAGCGTAGGCTGCGTCACTGATCTGCCAGGCAGCGTGTTGTTTGCTCTGCATCCTGAGAAGGACAGAGATGTTGTGTATCCTCCGATGTCCTACAGCAACCAGCATGCCTGAACCCAGATTATTGTTTTTCTTTTTATTGCTTTCCCTCCCAAGGAAATCCTCTGCTGGTGCAAAATTGATGGGGCAAACACTTGTGCTCCTCTTTGCTCCCGTTGCCCTGTGTGTAGCAGAGGAAGAACAAGATGGGCAATGGCAAAGGGGTGGGAGAGCAGCTCTAGCTAGGTAGTCCTTCACTGGCCCAGAGCATGTTGGCTTGTCTGCTGGGGAGAAGCTGGAGCACTTGTTGCCTTCTTACTTGCATGCAGGAACTGCTAATGTTACACAGTATTTAACTGCTTTTTTTTTTTTTTCCTTTTTCTCTCTTCATAGACTTGAATGGGAAGTGTACCAGGAAGTGTGAGGGCAGAACAGCAACAGCAAAAGCAGTTGCAGGGAAGGAAGTAACTATTACCAATACCCTGGGACAAAATGACAATTCATTCTGTAAAGTCCTATTTTACCTTCTGCACTGATAAACTGACACACAATCTGTTTTTTAAAAAAATCTATTTTGTATATCAGCATATCTGGTTTTTATTAATATTCCTATTATGATGGTCAACAAAAGCTGTTAATAAATAAATCCCCTGTAAGTTTCTATGGTGTCATAGTAAAAATACAAAGTTGACAAGGGAATATCTGGACAGAAGTGAAATAAAAGATATCAGATAAATAGTAAAAACAATGCTTTATAAGGAAACATTCCAACATAGATGTGAAATATAGTGTGTTGGGGAGGAATGTAGAGAAGTGACTTGTAGCAAGAACAAGGACATTAAAAAAAAACTCAGAGTCTTTCAGCATTTTATGAGCAGCTTTTGAGTTTTATTTAAACTTTGTACTTGAACACGGGTTATGCACTTTCACAGAGTCCAGCTTTTTCTGGCACTAGGGTGTGTCTAGATTTATCAGGGGAACATGATCTTCTCCTTTGTTCTTCTAAAGTTCCTTTAAAACTTGAGGTTAGAGATAGTAGGACGACTCCAACCAGCAGTTGCAGTAAAGTGTAGGAAATCAGTGCATCAGTGTAGGAAATGGGTTGTTACTGCAGGTAAGTGACTCATCTTGGCTGCCATACGGAGCCTGAACCAGAGAGGAGAAACTTCCGAACTGTGACTAATCACAGGTAGAGCAAAGGTTGACAGAAACCCTGTTGGAAACCCTGTGTCTGGTTCAGCTACACACTGTGCTCATCAGTGCTGTGTGCTCGTTATCTGCCAGGCAATGCTTACAGGGACTTGCTCTGTGTTTGTTTAGCCAACTTCGGTCTGCTTCAGTAAGAGCCACTTGGAGAAGCTGAGGCATGTGGAAACGATGAAGAGGGAGAAGAAAGGGATTAATTACTTTCTGCCTGACAGATGAAGCTGATCATCTCTTGGCTGTGACTTGCTGGTTTGTGTTATTTAGAACTGGACCCTGGGGTGCTTTTGTCAAGAAAGTGTGTCAGATCTGGTACTTCTTCCTCCTAGACAAGTCCCAGTAAGATTAGTTCTGAAGTAACAGAATCTTTACAACCTAATAGTGAAGTTTGCCAATCAACAAAGTATATTTGATTTGCCCGGAAGTTATGTATATATGTATATATATTTAAAAATGCTGCTCTTGCATACTTCCTTTTTTTCCCCTCCATTCCTGTTTGATATTCCCATTGCCTAAGGTTTTGACCCTTCACTCAGTAAGCTTCACTTAAACGGTGAATGGAAGAGAGGGAGGGACATTTTAATTGAAGTTACCTTCTTGTTTCCAGACACTCCATATGTTGTTTGCAATTATGATGCAATGCCATTGCCTTCACTGCTGTTGCTGAGTGGAAAAAGACTCTTTAATATGAATTTTGGTGGGATTTTTAAATAAGAAAGTTAGTGGAAGTCACTATTAATCAGTACTAGTGTGTGTTTCACTAAAACAGTGCTGTAATGACTGTAGTTCAATGGAAGTTAAACTGTGACAATATGACGTTTTGAAAGTTAAGTGTAATTTGACAGCATAATTCAGAATATAGCTTTTAATTAGATTTTCTGTACAAAGCATATTTTATAGCTTTCAGCTGCAACATGGTACTTCCCCCATCTCGCTGTATGTTTCACTAGTAATTAGCTCAACAACTTCCAAATGTAGCGTTCCCGTGTGGGCGGCAGGAACCCTCTCCAGAGGGATAAAGCTCCTCTGCAGAGGCTGAGGCTGTTTGGTGGCTCTTGCTGCCCTCCTCAGCAGTGTAGTGTGGTCAGGCCCTGGGGAGCAGGCTTGGCAGTAGGTGAGGGGTCAGAGGTGGGCACAAACCCACGTGGACACCCCCATGGTGACCCACAAGGTGCTACTTTGTGCGGTGCTACCTGCGACGCTTGCAGCCATCTATCCAATGCAGCGCCCGCCGTTTCCTGCAGCTGCAGAGCAGAGGCTTCCTCAGGATGCAAGGTACTTTTAGAATTAAGCTTTTTAAAAATACGGGGTAAGGACTACTGTTGGAAATGGTGAAGTATCACAGCTTATTTTTTTACAGTTTGTATCTGGCATTGCTCGGTGTGTGCTTCAAACTTTAAAGTCATGACTCCTTTGGATACCTCTGTGAATGAAGAAAACGGATTAGAGTTTTCTGTTTGTTTTTTCCATCTGTGTCAAGGACTTGGGTAAATTAGCGGTGCCTGTGTGTCAGCCCTCTCGTTGTGAGGGGAAAAAAGCACTTTCTGTGTGGGAATAAAGCCCTGCTATTAGTAACTACAAACTTCGGGTTGCAGACCAGCGGGCACAAAGATCTGGATACATCATTACATATACTAAGCGCATGTATATGGAGTTGTTGAAGTGAGGTTATGAAGATTACAGGGTGAAATAGAGACCTTGTTGGACATCTGCAGTGTGTTTCCTTTAGGAAAAGGGCAGGCCTTAGTGAAAAGCTAAGGATTTCTGGTCACAACCTCACAGTCACGTAGAGGGGTAGTGAACTCTGCTGTAAAGGAGCACATTCCTTTCTTCTTAAGTCACTGTCACTTGCAGGAGACTTTACAAGGTTGTTAGATTAAATCCCTTTGAAAAGGAATTCCAGCTGCAACAGAGAGCTGTTCTGCTCCCCTTTCTACCCTGTTCTATGTTACCCTCCCCACAGGCAAGTGATGGCGATGTGAGGAAAATTTCATATAGCATCTCATCTTTAAGAATGGTACCATAACAAACAAGACAGGGCCTTCCTCATACCTTCAAGAAAAAAATATTTATTTATAAAAATACACTGGGATCAGTTTGAGAAGTGTGGCAATAAATACAGTTCAAGGAAGAAAAAGCATTTCTACATGGATATATTATGGCACAATAAAAGGTAAATGCACCATCAAACATGGGACTTCTGTTGGCTCAAGACTTTGTACAAGCTCCCTTTTTAGTAAGACAACTATTTCTAGGAGTTTGGTCAGTGTAGATAATGGAATGAATACACAATCACAAATGCACACTTAAAATGTCTAATGCAAGACTTACCATTAGCAAACAATACCATAGAAACATAGTAATGATATTTAAATCACTAATGTGGCATCTTAGATTTAATGAGCAAAGACCACATTTAAAATTTAAAAGCATGAAATTCTTTTATCTCATGTGGAACACAGAAAAGCTGTAAATATGTAAAATGAAGGCATAATGTGGTATGTGAATGCCTATTTAAGTAGAGATTGTGAAAATGCATAGCTCCTTATTTGAAGACCTGGCTGTACAAGAGCACTCCCCCTTTCACAGTATTCCTTTTTACTTCATATGCAGTTATTGTTTATGCTGTAGACTACAACTGTTACAGCACTAAAGGCAACTAGACAGGGAAAGGGCAGCAAAAGGAATAAGGAATGTATGTAAGGCAATATCTCTTTAGGTACATTAAGCATAGTGTGTAGGAAAAGACAGGTAACGATTCCACAAGGCTAGTTTCGTTCTTACTGAATAAAATAATGGACTAATACTGAATTTCTGATGCAAATCTAATAATCAATGCCTTGGTCACTGTACTGACCATGGTAATCTCTTTGATAGTCATCTTGGTACTCTCCGTGATAGTCGTCTGGGTATTCCGCCTGGTAGTCGCTGTCGCTGATCTCCGAGCCGTTGGTTCCCGTTCCTTGGCTGCCGTTGTGGATGACGGGTTCTGTGGGGGCAGCGCAGTACTTGGGGTCGTACACTTGCCGTCCAAGCCCGTACACACTCATGCCCTTCTGTGAAGCTACTTTGTTGGTACCCATTTGTAACGAAATAGTTGAGTTATCCACAGGCTGCAATATGTGCTTCTGGTCATAGATGTCTCTCCTGGTACCTGGTGCCAGCATCCCAGCCTAACAAAACAGGAGTTCAGAGGTTCAGTAAGAAACCAAGAACTGCCACTACTGAACTTATGATTACGACTTGTACTGGAAGTTTTAGAAAGTAGGAATTAAAGTATAATAAATCACAGAGCTATACTAGTAAGTCAGCCTTAGAAGGTAAGTCTCTGCTGACACATCCAGCATGTTCTGCCTCTTTAGAAACAATTAGAAAGAATACACTGCATGTTCAAAAGGAGGCCATGCCCAGGGGGTAACTGACTGGCTCAGCAGGCCTGACAGTAACAACCACTGCAGCTTCCCTCACCTGGCTGGCCCCTTTGTTGGTGCCCATCTGCAGGCTGATTGTCGTCTGGTCGAAGGGTTTGTCAGTCTGCATTTTGGGATCGTAGAGGTGTCTTCTAGTTCCATAGGCAGTCATGCCTGCCTGACTGGCACACTTGTTTGTGCCCATCTTCATTGGGAGAAGGAAGAGGTGGACAGAAAAAGTGATTATTTGTACAACAAGCACAGTCTAAGGAAACAAATACAGTTGATAACTGACAGCTGCCAGAGAGAGTAATTACACTGCGTGCTTCCTTCGTGCAGCTTGACTGCTACAGTAAGAAACTATCACTGCTCTATGCTGTGTTTCAAGAGGACAAATAAATAGCAGCTGTCATCCTGAGGCATTTCAGTGACTGGCATTTGGCCAACTGCTTGAGAGAAATGGCTGGGCATAGCAATGTGGAATTGTCACTCTCACCCTAGGCAGTAGTAATTCAGTTACACCACCACAACTTGTATGAAATCTTAAAATTATTGTGCTAGACAAGTTTTTTGTTTTTATGATTACTGAATTACTGAGGAAAGCAGAAAGAGGAGAAGGGGGAGGGGAGAAAAAAAAAAAAGACTACCACAGAAGAAGCTTTAGCTATCCAAAGACGACTCCTTATTTCAAAGTTTCTCTAGAGGACAAAGATGATCCTTGCTGCTACTATTAGGGTACTATTTAACTGTTGCTTTCTTCCTTATCATGCTTACAGCAGATTTAAAAAATACCAAAAAAAAAAATCTCATCA